AGAAGGAGGAGGAGGAGGAGGAGGAGGAACGAGGATGAGATACGGGGAGGAGGAGGAGGAGGAGGAGGAGGAGGAGGAGGAGGAGGAGGAGGACGAGGAGGAGGAGGAGGAGGAGGAGGTGGAGGAAAGGCGGAGTAGGAACTGCTCCCTCCTACCGGGCCCGTCGTGAGGCGCGCCCAGGCCAGCATCTCAGGGGGACCCCCGCCCTGACGACGAGGACGCCCAAGGAGGTGAAAAATTCAGAAGAGCGCCGCAAGTCCTCGACGCTCGAACATCGACTAGGGGAACGAAGAACGACATACCATAAAAACTCGGAGGTCCGCGCGGACTTCTTGGATCCGCGCTGGACACCCCTCCCTGGCGCGCGGCGCGCGCCAGGGGCGGCACCGGAGGCGCCGCCAGGAGGCCCCATCGCCGATCCGAGAAATCCGCGTGGACCTCCGAGTTATTAGATGTATGTCCTTGTTTGTTTCCCTGCGAACATTGACGGCGATCTTCCCTTCGACGATCCTCAGAACGCTTGTGAGCGCCAACGTGCGTTTGCCAACTGAAGCCCTTTACTACGACGAGGGCGATGTGATGATCGACTGGCTGGGTTGAATGGGTAAACACACGTCCTGAGGGTCATCGATCTCTCCCCCCCCCCTCTGGCGGCTCTCCCGCTGACTCTGCGGCGGCGCCGCGGCCGTGTCCGCGGGAGCCTCGGCAGCTGGCGCGATGCCTGGGTCGCTCCGCGAGCACGGCCGCAGGGGGGAGGAGGAGGAGGAGGAGGAGGAGGAGGAGGAGGAGGAGGAAGGAGGAGGACGAGATACGGCGATGAGGAGGAGAAGGAGGAGGAGGAAAAGGAGAAGCGAGGAGAAGGAAAAGGAGGAACGAGGACGAGATACGGGGATGAGGAGGAGCAGGATGAGGAGGAGGAGGAGGAGAAGGAAAAGGAGGAAAGAGGACGAGATGCGGGGAGGAGGAGGAGGAGGAGGAGGAGGAGGAGGAGGAGGAGGAGGAGGAGAAAAGGAGAAAAAGGAGGAGGAGGAGGAGGGGAGAGAGGAGAAGGAAAAGAAGGAACGAGGACGAGATACGGGGACAAGGAGGAGCACGAGGGAGGAGGAGGAGGAGGAGGAGGAGAAGGACGAGGAGGAACGAGGACGAGATGCGGGGAGGAGGAGGAGGAGGAGGAGAGAAGGAGGAGGAGAAGGAGGAGGAGGAACGGGAACGAGATACGGGGAGGAGGAGGAGGAAGAGGAGGAGGAGGAGGAGGAGGAGGAGGAGAGGAGGAACGAGGACGAGATTACGGGGAGGAGGAGGAGGAGGAGGAGGAGGAGGAGGAGGAGGAGGAGGAGGATAAGGAGGAGGAGGAGGAGGAGGAGGAGGAGGAGGCAAGCTAGGTGCGCTCGCGTCACATCTGACATCCTACCCCTCCCTCCCATCCCTTACCATGGCGTAGATCCCCTCTCTACTCGCACAGTTGGATGTCGAGCAGGGCAATGATCCCGGAAGGGTACGCGATGCATTGTAGAGCACGGCGTGGCATGGCGTAGTATCAACCTAGCATTGCATTACATGCCGTGGCATGGCACGGGAAATGACGCCAGCCGCTGCAGCGGGAGCACGAGTCGAAACGAGCCGAAGCGCGGAAATGAGGCCAACGCTGCAGCGGGAATACGATTCGGAACGAGCGGAAGCACGGAAATGAGGCCAGCGCTGCAGCGGGAGCACGATTCGGAACGAGCGGGGCCCGAAAATGAGGCCGGCGCCTCAGCGAGAGCAGCATTTTGAAAAAATGCCAGCGATAACCCAACTCCAGGGAAACCTGTGCGCCAAAAAAACAATACGCGGGTGGGGGGGGGTCGAGCACTTTCAAACCGTCATCAGCGGAAGAGGGAGAGTAGTATTCATATTGAGAAGTTGTAGACGGAGGAAAAGGAGGAGGAGGAGGAGGAGGAGGATTTTTTTTTCCCAGGGGAGGAGGTGGAGGCGCCCATCCGATGACCACCTGTCAGGCCCTTAGGGAGGGCGAGTCCCACCGCGAACCCGAAGTGCAGATGGATGCCAAAGCCCGCCAGGACCACAACCATGAAGTACAGCAGAGCCCGGCAGGCCGCAAGCGGCACGGCGGCCTTGAGCACGACGAGGCCGTACCGGAGACCTCCACGATCAGGGATGGGTCCGTGCCCTGCGCGCTGCCAGCATCCCTTCCCATTGTCGAGTAGTCGAGGGATCGCGAACTTCCCGAGCAATACGCGCATCCACGACAGCAGTCTCATCAGAAGGGTACATAGCAAGATGCAGCAAGTCTCCATTTACAGCAATAACTCGGCCAGTACGCCCAATGTGTAAATCTTCCAAGACCACCACATAACGCCCAATGAACAGCGAATATGGCCAGTTGTAGTGCTTGCACATCTTCTCAAGCTCATCGCAGACGCTGTCATCCGAATCACTATCATGCCACACCGTTTCACGTATCACTCGAACCACACCGCCGCCTTGTGGAGGATCTGCGACCCCAGCATCACGTGAGGAATGAACCTCACCACCATCACCATCACGAAGCATAGAAGGGCCATTGACTCTGAGACATGAGAAACTGAGGAAGAGTTGAGCCTCCATCCTCTTCTGAGCCTCCCGCAGCGGGCCGAAACATTCCTCAAGGGCTCCACGAAGGCCAGGCGCAAGCACTCCACCACCCTGCACTCCTCCAGGAAGCACTTCACCACGAGGATCCACACCACCATGGAGCCCTCCAGAGGGCACCTCGCCAGAAAGATCCACACCTCCAAATGGTATCCCATCACCATCCACTCCAGCAGGAAGCACTCCACACTGAAGGTCCGCACCACCAAGTACCTCCACTCCTCCAGGAAACACTTCGCCAAGATCATCCGCATCACCGTGTTGCCCTCCAGGAAGTACCTCGCCAGGAAGATCCGCACTTCCAGGTAGCACACCACAAATATCCACTCCATTAGGAGGCACTTCACGCTGAGGATCCGCATCATCAGGTAGCACTCCAGGACACAGCGGAGAATCTGCACCACCACGGAGTCCCCCATGGAGAACTTCACCATATAGTACAAGGTCATCACGATCACCATGCTCATACATCATTTGGTCCACGATATCGTCTTGCCATTCAGGGAGAAGAAGACCAGGGGTATATACAACTGGCCTGTCGCGATGCTCAGGAAGGTGCCCTTCTTCAACAGAGAGATTCGCACCATGCCCACTGGCACCCGGAAGGTCTGCCCCATGCTGAGACTCAGCACCTGCAGGCACCACTCCAAGCTCGTAAAGCACCATGTCCGTGCAGGTCTCGACCGCCACGGCAGATGGGATGAACTCCTTCGCATCGGCGTTGAAAGGAAACCGTGGCACCGCTGGCAGTGATAGAAGCTCTCCAGGCCGACCATGATGTGTCCGCGGTGCCTTGGCAGGAGGCCCCCGTTGAGCAGCAGAAGCCGCAGCCCACGGGTCTGTGCCACCAGGAGCCTGCCAGGGATCACCTCCACCCTCATGTTCATCATGAGGCGAACGCCCACGACGCCGTCCATCACCACCTGAGCCAGGGCCTCCAGGTCCGCCTGTATCATGAGAATCATCAGGGCGACCTGCGTCGTCATCGCCAGGAACCGCATCCCCAGGAGAGTGGTACCAGAACGCGACCTCCGAGCTCCCGTCAGAGAACCTGTGGCCTCGATCGACGACCACACTGTGTGTGGCAAGCTCCTCCAGCGAGGCGATGCTGCCCAGGACCAGGCGACGCGTGATCTGCGAGGGCATCGCTTCGAGCGGTCGCACGATGAACCGCACCTTGCACTTGGTGGGGTCCAGGGCGGAGCAGATGTGCAAGTGGACCCCGATCCCATCGGCGACGCACCTGCGGAGCCAGGCAAGCCGTGCCAAGACGACCATCGCGGGCGCGGGCGAGAGGGGGAAGGAGGAGGGGCGCAGGGGCGCCGAGGAAGCTGCGGGTCAGGCAGGTGCCTGAACCAAAGCAGCTAGAAGAGGAGGAGGAGGAGGAGGAGGAGGAGAAGGGGGCGGCTGCATGCGAGGGAAGGGAGGGCCCAAGGAGCCTAACCCGCCCAGTTCCCGAAGGCTAGAGGCAGAGTCAGTCCCCTGGGTCAGTCAAGTCAGTACCCGAGATCGAAGGCGAGATCGGACGTCACACACAGGTGCAGCAACAGTCGGCATCGAGCCGAGAAATCAGATCGGAATGTGCCTCGGATCGGGTCGCACCTACACGGAGCCATAGCCAGACCCGGTCGGTCCCGCCGGGATGCGCAGGAGCGTGTGCTGTACGCCGGGCCGCAGGAGGGAGGACAGCAACAGGCGATCAGGCCAGCGCTTATCACCGGGCGGGCGGGGAGGGAGAGAAGGATGCTGACGAAGGGGGGGCAGAACGAAAAGGATGAGGCGGAGATGCAGGAAGAGGAAGAGGGCCACGACGCCCAGGGAGAGAATCGGGCGAGCGCGCGCGCGCGCGAGCGGCCATCGGCCATGGGGCGGGACAGGCATGGCCGATGATGATGGTGATGCTGATGATGCTGATGCTGAAGATGCTGATGCGGCTGATGATGGTGATGATGATGGTGGTGATGATGATGGTGGTGGGGAATGACGCTGATGATGATGACGATGATGCCGATGATGATGATGATGATGATGATGATGATGATGATGATGATGATGATGATGATGATGATCATGATCATGATCAGGATGATGATGAGGATCATGATCCTGATGATGATGGTGATGATGATGGTCGTGGTGATGCAGTTGATGATGATGCTGAGGCTGAGGCTGAGGCTGATAATGATGCTGATGATGCTGGTATTGATGCTGAATATGCGAATGCTGATGATGATGATGATGATGATGATGATGATGATGATGATGATGGTGCTGATGACGATCATGACGATGATGATAATGATAATGATGATGATGATGATGATGAGGGTGAGGATGAGGATGATGATGTTGATGATGCTGATTATTTCTGTGGTGGTGATGATGACAATGATGATGATGATTATGCTGATGATGATGCTGATGATGACGATGATGATGGCGAAGACCAGGGTAAGCCGAAGATGCATAAGGAATGCTGCAGTACCTCCTCCCCCGAGTACCCGCCCCCACACTCCCGCACTACAAGAGGCGCCCCTTTTGAAAGAGAAGCGCTGGTGTGCCTACCAATGTGGCCCCGGCCCCATTTTGAAAAATGGCTGCCCTGCTCTGTCTTTCTGCCAGGAAGGCATATAAAAGTAATGATCATAAAGTTCACCAGGATGCCCACAGACAACCTCCTTTCGGATAACGGCCGCCCCGAGCCGTGGAACCATTGTACAAGCTTTGCCTTGTGGCTATGAACTTCGAGGAAGTACCAAACCGCAGCTCAATGTTGCCAAATAATCGCCATCGGTCAGTGCAGCCTTACGCATGCGACTTTAGGTCCTTCAACCGAATAAAATCTCAAGCGAGAGCTCCCATTTGAGCAGCCCTCCATCCTGCGATACTATGCGTTTAATGTTTGTCTAGTCGGTGTGGGCATCAAGAAATGAGTTATTGGCCTTGTAGAGGTGAAGGTGATGCGGTGTACTATACGTGTTGCAAGCACAGTTTTGTGAGCTACGGTGGGGGCATTTGTTTATCCTATCACCCTGGGGCTTTGTCATGCAACAACAAATTCAGAGGCCGACTTACGGACCAGCAAACAGTGCTTGCGCGGACCCGCAGCCCGCCAGGACCAGACCCCGAAGCGCGACCACCGTCACTCCGCGCTCTGCCCGACCACGGGCCTGGGGTCCACGAGCCTGGCCACTCTGGCGGCCCTGCCACACTCCTGAGCTTCAGCAGCGCTGGCAAAGCCGAAAGAGCCTAGGGCTCCCTCAAGCCCAGGGCGGAACAGCCTCACTGGGGCAGGCGGGACGGGTGCCCGTCCCCGCACCTCCAGGGGCTCCACAGCGGGGGCTCGAGAGTCCACAGGGGCCCCAATGACCTCCCTGTCCTCCGTGCCCGCAAACTTGCCAAGCGCCTCGGCCCACCTGGCACGGGTGGCCGCAGAGGGCCGAGCCAACTGGTCAATCGGCAGCTTGAGCTTTGGCAGAAGCGATTTCGCGAAATCATTGCGCGCCTGCGCCCTGGAGCCCTGTTTGGCCCTGGGGTCGCCTGCGCGCTGGGCCCCATCCACAGGCCTTGGCCAGGCCTCGGTGGCAGTACTGGGGTTTCAAGCAATACATCCAACACGTCACACAGACCAAAAACTCAGGGCAATCGCTGCCAGAAACGCGGGATTCCCTTAGACGGTGGCCGTTGACTTCCCAGACCCCAGACTCGCCAGGGTCGGGAGAAACAAAAGAAGCCCCTGGGGGCCCCACCTGCCCAGTAGGGCCCGAGGGGGCTCTCCGAGGCTGGTCGGCGGCCACCGCGGCAGGGGAGGCCCCAGCAGAGGGAGTGGGCGAGGGGTACGACTCGGCCGACGCGGGCGGGCTCTGTGCGCCTGCGGCCGAGGTCGTGGCCCGCTGCGCCTTGTCCGCGCGGCTGCGCTGGACAGCACGAAACAGGGCCGCCGACGCGCTGGGCGCATCTGCGGCTGGCTCACTGGGCCTGTCGGGCCCGTCACCTGCATCCTCATTCATGTGGGCCTTCGGGTCAGCCCTCTCCTGGGCCTGGGCTCTCTGGCTGGCCGCAGCTGCCGCCGCCATCGCCGCGGTAGCCCCCGCGGCCTCCAAGCCTCCAGCGCCGCGGGCCGCCGACTCTTCGCCCCCCAGCAGCTGCTCCAGGTCGGGCGACGGGGCGAAGGGGTCCAGGTCCACCAGGTCCAGTGAGGAGAGCGGCCAAGCGTCCCTGAGCCCCGACTCGGTGATGTGCACCTCCAGGTCCGCCGCGCACCTGGCCACCTCCTTCGCCCGAGCTAGGCAGCCCTCCAACATCATGGCGTCCTGCTCTGCGATGGCGTGGAAGGCAGCCCCTTCCTTTGCCCTGGTGTCGGCGCGCCTGTTGCCCAAAAGCTCGAAGAGGGTGAGCTCCCCGTCTCTCACCGCGGCTTCGGAGCGGTGGGCTGGCACGTGGCGCATGATTACGCCCTCCGCTGCGTCCCCGACCCTGGCCCACACGTGGGCATGCAGGGAGCTGGGGCCGCGGGCCTTGGCCAGGTTGGAGGCCGCCTTCACAGTGCTCAAGCAGTCGCTGAGCAGCGTGTAGTTCCCGATGATGTCGGCGAGGCCAACGGCGGCGGCGTAGTCCTCCCCTGCCTTGGCCGTCTGCGACGGGAGGTCGCTGGGGGGCACTGCTCCCCATGCCTCGGCGAGCAGCCTCCCATCGGGCCCCTACACGATGACGGCCCACCCCGCGCTCCTGACGTGCGGGAAGTCCCCATTCAGGCAAGAGCCGTCAGTGAACACGAAGGACCCGTCTGGCACCACCAAGATGCCGTCCCCCCAACCGCAGGATCTCCACGCCCAGCTGTCGTTCCAAACTGGCCTGACCACGAGGAGGCTGATGTCCGCGAAGAGCCCCTGGCTGAAGAGCTCGTCGAAGGGGGTCCCCATGCGGTGGACCTGCTCAGCTGCCTTCCTCACCTGGAACGGGCAGTAGTCTCGCCTCCAATGCGCCCATGCTGGGCACTCGTGGTGCCTATGGTGCATCGTCCCAGGGGCGGCGCCGCAGAGTCTGCACAGTGGGTCGATCTCACGCCCGTGCCTTGCCAGACGGGCCTGGGGCCAGCTGGCCAAGGAAGCTAGGCGTCTCAGACACCCTTTGTGGTGAGCCGTCCAGGTTGCCGATTCCTTGGCGCCAAGGAGCTGGTTAATCGGCGTCCACCACGGCGGCAGTCGCCACTGCCAGAAGGTCTCGGGCCTGCTGGCGTACTCCTCCAGCGACGCCGCCTGACACGTGTCCTCCTTGACCTTGGCGGCGCGGAAGGCGGGCGAGAACCTCGATACCTCGAACTCACAGGACCCGTCCGCCAGCGCTGAGCCCCCAGCCGACCCTCCCCAGCGTGAGCACCAGCGCCGAGACGGGGTCGCGCACCGCTGCCCAAGGCCTCTGCAGCGAGGTCAGTCGCCTGCTGTCCCTGAGGCAGGCCTGCACAGCG